GTTTGTCCCAGGAACAGACTCTGACAAAGATTCAAAGACAGGAAGCTCATTTGGTAATCCAGGAAACATTAGTATGGGAATGGGAAGTAAGACAGAGAAGAGGATGAAAATAAAGAAAACATATTTAAGAGTTTCCTGCTGTGAGCAATAAGGTCCAGTCCTACTGGAAATTCAAGGAGACAATGTGAAACATGCCTCAGGGTATCACCAGTAGGACAAGGAGGCTGGAATTATTATCCTCCAATACTTCCATCCATCACTGGCTGATGGCTGGCTCCAGAGGATTATCTTCCTAGCACTTCCACTCTGCCCTGCACGCAGACGAGAAATCCAAGACAAAGTCGCAGGTGCTTGCAGGACACTTTATGCATGGACTAGAAAGGTGAGCGAGTCAAGTGCCTGCTGCAAAGTCTCACTGTCCATAAGACTCACACACCAAGTAACTTAAATTTCAATTTTGTCACTGTCTCATTACAAAGAAGCAGTGCATTTTAAGGATGCAAGCCACAGAACATAATTTTAAGGTCAGAGTCATTAGGAGTATTTTAACCCATTAAACGAAATCTATTTTTGTCTGAATTAATCAAAATAGACATTGCAATAAATGATTCCCATTTTTATTAAAGTTGCAAAACCCCATTACTATTCAATTCAAGAGGATACCTCAAACAGCCAGCACCAAAAATAAAACACAGAATAACATGGTATATAGTATTTGTAACACACAGAACTGAAAATAAGAAGAGCTGAATTCATGTCCTACCTCTGATACAAACTAGCCATGTAAACTTATACAAGTCGGGTTATTTGTATAGCCCTAAGGTTCTCTATCAGTCTGAGTTACTTATTGTTGAAATTTAGAGGGAAGAAAAAAGCTGTACAACATTTAAAATTAAAAGTACAATATATTAAATAAAAAGGTATTTTTATTATGGTCATAAAACATCAAAGGTAAAAGGCCCTTAGGAGTCATATCATTTAATTCTAACTCATATAAATAAAGAAATAAACTGTTCTCTATAAAACAGCAGTGATTTATTCCAGCATATCAGTAGTAACTTCCTGGCAAAGCTGAAAATGGTTTCCAGTGCTAAGTTTCTAGCACTCCATAAGCATCTTTCTACTTGAGATTTGGCTGGATACGTCATGGGATAAGCAGCAAAAAAACACATTTTAATTATTATAAAAACTTTGCAACACTTTTAAGTAACAGTAAACACCATAGGATATTGCACAATATGAGCTAAGAATCATGGGCCAATGGTTTCAAATTTACCGTATCACTTACATTACCATTCATTCCATTTGGCATTACAAAGAGACTAAGAATATTAAATTCTATCACCTTTTAAAATTAGTAAGTAAGCTTGTTTCCACAATTAAAAAACTAAAAATGGAAAAGAAAAGCAACTTAAAGAGTGCTTCCAATTACAAGGTTTATGTTTTCTGTCCTTTAGAAAGCACTTCACATGAAGCAGATTGCCTCCTGCTCTCCTTCCCTTAAAATTCATCAAAATTGAACAAACACCAACTGAATGTCTATTATGTGCTAGATTCAAATGGACAGATTTAAAATGGAAAAAAACTTAGAAAAAAATTTCCATTTATAAAACTGTTAAGTTAAAAATATTTTTATTAGCTCTAGTTCAACAGTCTAAGTATTAATTTTTAAAAATTCACACAACTTGGTGTCATATATCATTCTAGATTTTTTAGTTTTCATCTTTTTAATACCCTTTACTTAAATGTACATAACATCACATTCAGTTAATTCAGAGAATATCATGGTCAGAAAAATTAAAATATTTTCCAAAAGTTCACATTGGCAGATTTAAAGACCAGAATGCAGGTCTTATTTATAATCGAATACACTTGGCCTTCAATAGCTTCTCAGTAATGGTATTTATATTCTCTTTGGTTTCATTATTAAGTTGACAGAAAAAAAAAAGGACTACATCTAATAAAGTTACAAACCTCATTTTACAGTATAAAATATGCATTTAAACATAATTTACAATTTATATTAAAAAACCAACTGCATTACATTATGGCTTTCAAAATCAGAAGTTGGCTTTAATTTTTTCCATTATTTTTATAGGGCATTGGCCAAAATCTTACATTAGAATTAAACACAGACACACACCGAATAAATGTAATATATCCTAGGTACAAACCACTCTGAGATCATTGTAGAACCCTTGGGCATATGACAGATCTAAAAAACCTAAAATTCTTCACATAGTACCCAACAACCAGAATATATCCATGAGCTCATGGCGGCCAAAAAAAACCAATCCAAAAGAGTGACTATTAAAAGGCAGAGGTCCCAGTTATCAGCATTGGTTGAGGGTAACATTACCAAATGCACAGCACAGTCAATGATGATACTGTGACATGCCACTCAGTTCTACTTACAGGGTAGGAGAGAAGAGCACAGAGAAAACATCTGCCAGTTGCCCGCTGGTGCCCCTTCTACTATTTTGACATTAATAAGTATAGAAAAGAGCAAGCTCTATCGATACCCTTTTCTGCTAATGATATGGCTCTGTTTTAGATTCAAGAAGCATGTGTGTTTAATAAAACTAGGTTACTTATTCAAAGACCAACCTAAATTTAGTAAATGGTAGAACTCTGCCTTATATTTAAATGATTCAATTTTTAAAAAGTACATTAATTATTCTAAGGCTCCAGTGTTCCACCACTAACAAGTAACAACCATCAATTCATAACGTCTGTGTTGAAGGTTAGTGCTACATGATCAAAATCAATTTTTTACTTAAAAATGATTTCCCTTAAGAGTTTTATACAAATGAAGTAAGTTTCATTTTACGTGTACTAGTTCCATTAGCTTTTTTGCAGCATGGTGACCCATGATTTTAGATCTGCACCAACAATACACCCAGGTGATACTGATGCTTATCCCCGTACAGCGATCCTACTGTAGAATCCCCAGATCTAGCTTTTGCTTGAATACTTCCAACGACTTTATGAAAACAGAGCCAATTATCACTTAGAAATTCTCATATAGAACATTAAATATAGAAACAGAAACTTCTCTCTCTTACAATTAAATTTTCCATCTATATCAACACAGAATAATTGTATTCCTTCTTATACATGGAAGTCACGCAAATATTTGAGAACTCCCCCTCTTTTAACTTCTCCAAAATAAACATCACCCATCTATTTGACTACATGCCACTTTCCACAGCACTTAGGCCTTTCAGCATTCTGGCTGCCTCCCTAATGTCCCTCTTAATATGTGACACTTACAATTTAACACAGTAATATAAAAGTTGTAGTCTGAATACCAGTGTGCATGGGGTTTATTACATCTCCTAATCAACAATAGTTTTATAACTACATTAGGCCTTTCAGCAACTATGTCACAGCACTTCCCAACTGCCAGTCTATGGACTGATACTTAATGAGATTTTCAGTGATCTAGAGTAAATGAGAGAAGAAGAGTGTAGTAATTTCTTCATCAACTTAAAATTATTCAGGTTAAATAACTCTTTTATTCAGAGTGTATGTCCTTTCTAAATATTGGGGGCAGGAGGAAATATAGTGTTGGTGATACAAGATAATAGCTGTTTTTCCAAAAGTCTTTACATGGCAAAATAAAGTCTCTCATTTCACAATCTCTCTTAAATTACTGGTCTAGCATCCTAAAATACTCAGATAAAAAGGTCCATCTAATCCATTCTTTACCACCATCAAGGTAACCAAGTGCTTGGAATAATTTAAATAATTTGCAGTAACCAATCAGTTCCCCCAACTTGTCACTCTTAATTTATGGCAGCAAAGCAAACCTCCAATGGGCTCCAGCAAATAAAACGGCTTCAAAGTGCTTTAACTCAAGTTCCTAAAAGTTCCTAGTTTCCCTGACCCACTTCCCACTTACCTTTATAATCCTAAATAACACTCAAACCCAGCAACTAGACTACATCAAATTGAGAGAGGGTTAGGATGGTAGAACCACTTGTTGCAGTGTAAATTACTAGCCAATTATTTTAACTACAGGTGAACTCTACCATCCAGGGCAGGGTAGAGCAAACTACCAGGCAGGAACCAAATCCAGCTCAATGTCTTTTTTGTGTTTGAGTGAAACACATTGTCTATGGTTGCTTTTGTGCTACAATAACAAAGGTAAATAGATGAAACAGAGACCATTTGGCATGCAGAACCCAAAATATTTACTAGGCCAAACCCAAAATATTTACTATGTGGCCCTTTTACCCCAAACATTTGCCAACCTCTAATCTAGGGTAATGAACTATTTGCTACCAAAGAAAAGTTGAGATCTGCAACAATAACCATTTAATTAACTCAGGATCCCTACCATCCATATTGCAGTATCTAAATATAAACAACAGAATAAATGAATAGTCCTTTATCCTACTCTGTATGAAGATTTGTTGCTCACCCAAGATGAAGAATTTACTTACCTGCTCACTGAGCTAATCTTTAACATACATCTCAAGAACTCACTAGTGAAATAGTGAAGAATCCATGAATACACTGCTCTGTGTAATCTAAGGTTTAAAAAAAAGTTGCAAATAACTCAAAGTAAAAAATAAAGAAGAAACTATATAGAACTGCATAATAATTTCCTTTACATTTCAGATTTCAAATACAAACACTTTTAAAGGCACTTAAAGTAGGAAAGCGTAAGTTCAACAATTTAGGTAATATTAACACATTAAATAGTACATATTACTTTTTCTTTTCTGTTAAAAAAACTTTCATTTTCATGTATGTAGAGTTGAAATCAAAAGATAATACTTCTAATGTAATTCATGTAGATTGTTAACATAAATGACACCAGAATCTCTAAAGACTAAAGTCAGAACATTAAAGTGTTTTGAAACTGGAAGTGCTTAGGAGATCACCTCCATATTTCACAGATGAGAAAGTTTTGACACAACATGAAATATTTATGGTGGGAGGATTAATTAGTAGCAGAGGCAGAACTAGAACCCAACATTCAACTATCAATTTGGAATACTTAATGACTAAGTATGAAAGATATGCTCATATTCTAGGGAAGAGTAGATGATGCTGAAATATTCTAGAGTTTTAAATGTACAGCAAATATACTAATAAGGCTACTGCCCACTCAACCTAAGCAACCCTCGTGTGTTTTTTATTAAACAATCAACTAGAAAATTACAGAATGAAAAATGATTCATTGTAAAGCCACTCATTAATTAGAATAATCAAAAGAACAAACATTTGCTTAATAAACTGTCAAAGATTAAAAAGATAATCAATAGTGGAGAAGGAGCAGTATGAGTACTCATATATTGCTAATTTGGCACAAACTTTCTGCAGGGTAATTTGGCCATATTTTAAAGAAGCTAAAAAGTTCTCAACATCTAAACCAATTATCCCATTCCCATGAATATACCCTACAGAGCTAGTCTAATGTAGAGTTCAAATTGCACATACAAAGATATCCATCCTGCTATTAATGTATAATTGTGAAATATTAGAAACAATCTAATATCCAAAAAGAGAATGGGTTCAATTATGGTATATTCATACAATAGAATATTAAGCAGCCATTTTTAAAAATCACATTTTCAAAGACATGGGGAAGTACTTATGATGTTAAGTTATAAAACGTAGGCTATACAACTATATGGTCAATATAATCTCAATATTGTTATTATGCACACACACCAACACATATACACACTCATACATATAAATAGCATAGACAAAGTCTGAAAGAAAATACAAAAAATTATTAACAGTGTAATCTCTGGATAGTGAAATTGCAAATAATTTTTTCTCTTCTTTAGACTTTTCAGTATTTTCTAAATTTTCCATAACAATCATGTATTAGTTTTATATTCAGAAAACATTAAAAATTCATTTTATAGTCAATTTTGAAATTTTTATAGTCTATATAATAAATAAGGAATAAATATTTATAGCACTCATTTGTGTATATAAATGATGGGAAATAAATCAGTAATATGTAAGAGTATAATTTCCACATATGTATAGGTGGGTAATTCTGAATCCAAAAGATAGCATTATTTTATCTCAATTCTTGCACATAGAAAGTTGATATTTAGTAAATAAGAAATGCAGTCTTAAAATAATATTGGTGCAAGGCATCTAAAAATTGTGCTATTCCGGCATACATTGGAGAAATAAACGTTCTCCAATGTAATGAAGGTACCCAGTGTTAGATTAAAATAGGTATAGTCTATTACATGCATGGTGGCCAATAATTAACTAATTGAATTAGATTTTTTTCCCAAAATGACTAGAATTGGTCTATGCTAAAGAAATAAATACAACACCATACCATTATTTTAGTTGGAAGAGCCGCACCAAAAATCGTGACAAAAAAATTTTAGAACTATAATAAAATCCGGTGGCTTTTTGTTGTTATTGTTAATGATTTCTTACTAAAAATTCAAGTCCAATTGCTTAGAGCACTAAAAAAGCATAGCAGCAGTGTATGGTCTGCAATGATTTGAAAAACTTTAGAACACTCTTCAATTTCCTCATTTGCAGACTACTGCCTATCAAACACAATCTTTGAAGGAAAAGACTACATCTATGCTCTTTTACCAATCTTGAATGTACAATATAGTAATGACACAAAGTGATGTCACACACACAAAAACAAACTATATTTCATTTAAAAAGCTAACTTTAAAATATGATTCTAATATCTGTGATAAAAAAATCACATAAATATGCAAAATATAAAATACATCCTAACATATTTTTATGTAAGAGCTGAAGTTTACCACTTTTAACATAAAAATTCTGAGATGAATTAATAAAAACAATTTTCATATATACCACAGAGCAATAAGTTTAAATCAGACTATTTTGAGTTGTGTAGCCCTTTATTAGCAACTAAAATAGAAGGTATCTGTTGTACAACACGGGTAGTAATTGACTATAACTGGAGAATTATTATATTCTAATACAGATCATTTATAAATGCAATTTCTTTATTAAAAAGCTTCCACCTTTTTTGTTTGTGTACAATTTGCAAAACTATTCTGAAAGCGGAATATATGTGCACAAGTCTGCAAAGAGTGCAAGTTTAGGATATGGTAAATGCTTTACAAGTTACTTTCAGAAAACTGCCACAACTGGGCCATTACATTGCCATCTTTTTTGATCAAAATATTTGATGCCAGCCTTCCTTCCACTGCCCTAAACTATAAAGCATTTTTTAATGAGTTGAAATTAAGGAAGGACTACACCTACTAGAAAAGAAGAGAAGAAAGTTCTATTAGTTTGAGGTTTCAGAATCCCCCCACACCAGGACCAGTATCTTGGTAAGGGCTAGACTGGGACCCCGAACAGAGTATGAGTATGTGCAGGTGGCATCCCTGAGGACTCAGAGCTTCAGTGGACCGTGAGTGCTCCAGCTGCATAACTCACTGAACTGTCTTGCCAGTTTCTACACTGGCTTGACTGGGCATAATTCAAAAAGGAAAAGCTCATATTCATTCCATTCTTCTGCAGCTCTGTGATAGCCTGGAAAAAGAAAAAATTGGTTAAGACAGACACCATATAAAAAGTGAGCACTCTTTGAATGTGTTGGTGGCTTAACTTTGTCCCCTTCGCAGCTGAAGCCTAGATCTCTTTCACTCTTCATTTGTGTCTTGAATTTCTCATTATCTCACGTTAAATAGGATGAAATGAGAACTTCTTATTTAATTCTATCAAAGAAGTTCTCCAGCATAGCTTCTAGATAAATATCATCTTCCATGCCTACCTGTTCTCGTATTTAATAAGGCCACTTAAAAAACAAAAACAAAAAAACAAATAATTCACAGCATCTTCTTCTCTATTCTCTAAACTAAATCTTAGCTACTTCTACTATCTTGAAATGTAGTTTTTTCTTGTCTGATTCTGGCTAAGTTTGAAATGCATATAAATTAAGTTTCAAAGGGTATACGAGGATTTTTACTTTAATTGTTCATTGGTTCACCACTTATTTTATAAAAATGTTATTTGATTCAATTTAGATGTTAGGAAATTCTTGTAGCTCATTCTAGTTTAAATTTCAGAAATTAGTTCAATCTCTTAACAGGTTTTTCCTCCTGTTTCTCACTGCTGCTTAAGAGAAAACCCTTAATAGAAATTACAATGAACTGTCTTTCACATCATATTAACTCTGAACCTCCAACCCCTACCCTAAGACTGTTTTAGACTACATTACTTTCTCCCTTATTTCTCTGCCTTTCCAAACAATGAGCCCATTGTTACCTTTTCCTTCCATTACCTAGCATACACTTTCTTCATTCTTAAAAAGTCTTGCATTTTCTTTCAGAAAATCCATACTGTTTCATTAATGTAAAAATTGTTATTATCTCTTTCAAAATCCAGCTAACCAATACTTCTGCCTATTATCGCCATTTCTTAAATGAATTATTATTGTCTTTCTTCTAAAGGGAAAAACATATACATGTCATTTATCTTGCTTTATTAACTTGTATATATCTAAAGTTCAAGATCAAAACCTGGTTCCATCTATTTTTTTCAGAGTCTAGGACACTAAATAAAAACCAAGAAATCAATAAGAACATATCTCTTTTTTTTTAACTTTTATTTTTTATTTTGTATTTTTTTCTTAAATTTATAAATCATGTTCATTCTATTACAGTTGTCTCATTTTTCCTCCTTTACCCCTCTGCACCCATCCCACCTCCACCCCCTGCTCCCACAGTCAACTGTTGTCCACATCCATGGTTCATTCATACAAGAACGTATCTCTTAAAAGATTACTTTGGTTTATATTTACAAAGAGCATACTGGAATTGGCTGAGGATCTAAAAAAATTGGTCTGTATTCTAAGTAACTTTCTGTATTTAAAAGAAAGTACTGGCCTGTCTCCCAGTGATAAATAACTTTATTCAAGTAACCAAGACAATGGCACTCCAAATTCTCTTAAAGGAACTAGAAAGAAAATTGACTATATATACTTAAACCAATGCTAATAAAGTATCACAGATGCTTTAAGATATTTAAGATATTTTAAAACATCATAGGATCAAACATTAAAAATTAAGGCTCTCTCAAGATACTCACATTTAATAACACTCCAATGGGATGTCTTCCACATATAGTGTTATGGTATTTCTTCAAGTAATTGCTAAAAGATACAGGGTCTAATTGTTCTATAATACTCATACCCTAAAAAAAAGAGGGAGAGAGAGAGAGAGAGACAAAAAAAAAAATGAAAGAAAAAGAAAAAAAGGACACAGTTTATTACTTCCTAGTTACATTTTTAAACTGTTATTTAGAGCTTAACACTATAATTTTTCAATTAAAGAGAAATATATAAAATACATTAAATAAACCTTGTGAAATACCAAACTCATTCATTCAAAGCTCATCTCATTATAGTCAACTCTCAATAATACCTACACTTTATTAATGGAAAACTTTCAATCCCCAATTTAGTTTTCTCTGACCTCCTTGTATGTTTTCTTCACCACCTTCACTAGCTTTTATTTAGCTCATAATCCTCAAACATTTCACAATTTAATATTTTTCTTATATAAATATATTTACACGAGTAAATCTGTTGTCAAAATTTTCATACAAATCTAAAATTAAATTTGATATATGCCTGTTTTTTCCCATATATGCTATATTTCTCCTACCAATGGCATAAATAAGAGTTGACTGTAATTTAACTATTTCCATAACTATACTTAAATATTAACAATGTGAAAGACATTTTAAGTTATCAGTAATTATGTAGGTTTGCAATAAAAGATAATATAAATTAAAAACATTGCTTACATATTTTTAAATTAATTTTCAGCCCATATAAGACTAATAAGAGATTGAACAAAATAGGTCTTTAATGAACTTAAAAAAAAAAGCTTTTTATTTCTTTAATATTTGAAATAACAATACTTCATTTTCAAGATTTCTATTCAGAATCGAAGTTTTTAGACTACTGTTAAGACAACCACTATGACCTGGACACTTCTTTACACTAAATTCCCTATTCTGCAAATGCATTCAAATAATGTTTTCATAATACATTAATATAGAGCAACTTAACTCATCTGAATCGGGCAAATGAATTAATGATTATAACACATTTATACAGCAATTACCTTACCTTGTTTTCTTATTCTGGTAAAATAATTTACATTTGTTCTCAATAAACTGCATTAATTATCCTCTGGGAGAAATGTAAATGGTAGTTTAGGGAATTAACTAATATACTGTGTAGATTTTGAATTAATATTCAACATGTTTTAACAAAACAAGCAATGTGGAAAAGCACCCAGAGTAAGCAGATGAACAGTCATCTGAAAAATGATAGTAATCAGTAGATGACATATACATATTGCTGTGGCAGTATCAAAATTTAATTAAAAAAGAAACTTTTTTCCAGGATATTCAAGTCTTTTATAAACATCATCACATTCTTTTACAAATAATAAAATAAATAAAAAATCTAAAAGATAGGCATATACATGTATAATCAACTTTCAATCGTTTGTACATCACTTAGCCACTTTCAGACTTTTCTACAACCAGTGTTTAAAGCTAGGTTGGTTTCTCCCGCCAACCACAAGGCTTCCACATCAACAGTCCCCACTGACATTTAAGGCTCTCTCAAGATAAATAGCTATCTTGTTGTAAGCTCAGAGACATATGAACTAACTTAAAAGTTACACTTAAGGCCCTGACCAGTGGGGCTGAGCTGGTTGGGTGTCACCCTACAAACCAAAAGCAGGCCTGGTCCCCATTTGGGGTGCATGCAAGAGGCAACTGATCAATATTTCTCTCACACATCGATGTTTCTCTCCCTCTCTTCCCCCCACTTTCTCTTTTACTAAAAGTAAATAAAATCTTTTTTAAAAGTTAAACCTAAATAAACAATTAGTATTATAATTCTGGTATGAAGAAAATCACACAATATATTTCTAAGTCAAGTAGTAATAGAGAGATAAAGTAACAAATTTCGTTCATCAATACAGATAATCAAGCTATAACTCTCTAAAGATTAAAAAAAAATTGAGACATTAAAAAAAGGTTAAAAGCTTGCCTTGAAATTTTTAATCCCAGGCTCTTTCTCATTGGTCATTGACTACTCTGCTTGATATAGTGTAACAAAAGACATACTAATAATTCTTTAAATAATCTCTTTAAATAATATAGTATACATATTATATGAGAACTTTTAATGCCCTTGGATGAAGTCTAAGACAGCTTACTTAAGTAGAATCCCACTCATCAATGATTTATGTGACATTGAGGTTCCAAGGTATGTATGTCAGAATCTCAAAGCACACTTTTGAATAAACTTATCTAATTTATATATTGACATGAGGAATTCAAAGAGAAGGCAACTAATGATCCCACTTTAGAAGACAAAGAATTCAAAGCAACTAACCAAGAAATTTCATATAGAAAGATATAGTTATAAATTTAGAGAAGACACTACTAAATAAAGTGTTCAAAATGAAGAGATAATGGTTAAATTACAACAATTAAAAATTGTAATGGTAGAATATAAAGAGTTAAAGTCAAAATCTTACTTCCCTAAAGTGTGTTATGTACCTACCAGGGCAAGAATCAATTTCATTACACTCAATTCTCTGAAGACTATGATAGTTAAAAGATACGGCTTTTTATAAAGGAGAAAAGTTTAAGGCTTTATGATTGAAAAATTCATGAAGTACACAAACAACAGCAATAATGATAATAAAACTGCAAAATGGGACGTTCATTAACTAATAAAGAACACGGGCAAATATGCTTTTGTATATATTTATGCTTTGATGTGAACAATTTTGAAATTACTACTACCAGAATTCCAAACCGATGAAAAATAAAATGCTTCTCAAATATGCCTAATTAACTTTTCTATTTCTTAAAATGTTAGAAGATAAGATTGGTGAACCTAAGGTCCTGGTAATGGGAAGCTTGCATAGAGCTTGCATACTATTTGTTTCCATGATTTTAACCATATGAAGCAGTAAAGTGGTCACTACCCATTCAACCCTAAGATATAAATCGGGATGGATTTATAAGGAATTTAGTAGCTTCAGCAAGAAATCCTCAACTGAAAGCTAACCCTTTACCTTGAGGGGACCAGGGTGAAGAGAACCTATCACTGTTCTCACTCTCTAATGGATAAAAAAGCTTGCAATGTCAAATCCCAGTGGCAATCCTAAACTAAAGAGGCAGTTTTAACTGACAGAACTGAAATTGGGGACTCCGGTAAAACAAAAAATATCTCCCCTTTTTTAAAAGGTTATATATAATAAAGCATTTAAGTTTTAACTTTAAATATTATCACCCAGAAATCATCTCCCTCTGAAATAAACATAAAAGAATTGTAAAACTTTTTTAGAGGCCTTTCAAAACAAGAACTGGAATTACGTCTTTTAGTTATGAACACATAATTAATCACAATATTATCGAATCAGTAGGATCTAATTTTTTTTGGCAAGGATATACAGTTATGTTAGAGAGATGGGTACACCTTTAGGGAAGAAATATTCTGGCCTCTGAAAGGGGCATCAAGATAAAGTCTTAGAGTGAAAAAAATTTTATGGGGAAAAAAAAATCACCCTAAAAATAGCAGTGCTAAGAAGCAATGTACTATCTTAAAGATGATATATAGCCTTCTTAAATCGTTATCTTAAATAGCTATCTTGATGATGTTTTAAAAGTACAGCACTGAAGACTATTAAAGAAATTACTACCCTAAGTTCAAGAGAAAGGAGAATGAGTAGACAAAAAAGGAAAATTTCACTTTCAAGAGTAGGAAGAAAGGAAGATAAGTAGTTGAAGTTCAAAGACAATGAAGTGACTATTAATAAATGTAGAAGGTAAAAAAGTTATAAGGATGACTACAATGACCTTTTTCAGATTCTCTCTGCCAAATCAGAATTTGCCAATGTCCACATTGAAACTTTGGTCTACATCAAAAGTGGTACAGAAAAAGTAACATAGGATCATGTAATATACATAAAACATAGCTAATGTTTTCAAGTGTTGATCTAAAAAGTTAGCAAAAATCACTGTCTTAACATATGCTCTGCTTTCTTCACTATAATTACTGAAATTACAAAGTACTAATGACCAAAAACATGGTCAGTAGTATTATGACATTATGATAACATTATGATTTTCAGAATCTACATCTCTGTAACTAGTTACCTTCCCTCCCCCCAATACATCATTTGGAAGATCCAATGAGTTTTCACATATATATTTTTTTATTTCTTTATGTGTTTATTTTACATAATTAATTCCCAAGATACTCAAGTGCTAGAAGTATAAACGTTTTGTAATAAAAACAGCTATTTTTCTTTTGTTTTTAGAACCTAGAAATACTTTCATTTATTTTCTAGTTTTTTAATAACTACATCAATAAGACTTTTCTGAAAACAAAAAGAACCAAAACTTAATAAACACACAAATTTTAAACAGGTTAAATCTAAAATTTTACACTTAAAAATTTCTTTTCACGCTATCAAACTTTCAAAATGTACAATTATTATAATTAGAATTACTAACGTTTTTTGCAATATTTATACAGAGAACTTTCATACTACTTGCTCTAAAAAGACTGCACATAGAAACTAAGATACTGGTTCTCAAATGAATAAGATTATTTATAACATAAACTGACACCTTAAAAAAGGAATATACAGAGCAATATTTACCATTTGGTTACATAAGTCAATTAAGAAAACATGTTATGTAAGAGTCTGCCTAACCCTGGCTGGTATGGCTCAGTGGACTGAGTGCTGGCCCATGAACTGAAAGGTCACTGGTTCAATTCACATTCAAGGCCCATGCCCGGGTTGCAGGCCAGGCCCCCAGTTGGGGGTATGTGAGAGGCGACAATTGATGTTTCTCTCCCTTTTTCCCTCCTCTCCCCTATCTCCAAAAGTAAATAAATAAAATTTAAAAAAAAAGACTCTGCCTAACAGTGAGTATACATATATACACCTAAGTATAAAAACATACATATATGAGTATATAAACAGAGCTAACCATTCTTAATCCATTTATCACTTATTCTAATTCCCAGAATTGACTTGTAACTTGAATTAACAACATGCTAATAAAAGAACAGAACAGTTATGAGCCATTTAAAAATTCTATAAATAAATATATGTTTCAATAAATGGACCACAAAAGTCATCTCCAAGTCAAATGTTACATCAAATATTAAAATTGAGTATATTAACTTGAAGCAAATATTTGTTACTTATTCAGAAATTGTATTCCAAGCTATTTAAATAAAATTTTTAATGTTATGCTCTGGTAACTTGTGACATCTAAAGTAAGGTAAATCAGATGCAGACTTAGAAGTTACCTAAAGCTCACGACTCTGCTTACACTTTTTGAAGTTTCAAAGACTTAGCTAGCAGAAAAGGAACCATTTTTGGGAAAACTTATGAAAATCATGCTGATGGGTAAATACTTTTTTCTGCTCTGCCTTAAAGTAAGAAACCAAGGTCTATCTATCTAACTGATCATGTACATCAAGAGAGACAAATAAAACTGTACTTTTAATATAAACTAACAATCAACATAGAGTTAGTAGCAAGGCTAAAAGAATTGTTAAGTATGGATGTTTATATATACCACAAATATAGAATAACAAAGAATATTAAAGTATGTGTACGCAATTCTAGAGAGTTCCAAAGGATGAACTATTATGTTCACTCTGGAATAACAGATACGCCAAGTTTTGAGGAAAACATCTTCCTTATGCTGAAAGCATCATTCACTGATGTACAAATTCCTACATTTGAAAAATTACATGTTGCCTAATTAAAGTTCGCAAATGATTTAAATAGCTAAATATTGGAGAAAACAAGGACATTTTGTTCTCCTTCAACCAATCAGGAACCATAGTGGTGACAGCCTACCTGCAAACTATTTTAGGAATAAAGATTTTGAGACTCTTTTCAAACTACTGAAAGGGGATCTCCAGGGGCGGGCATGAGCAAATCGATTTTGAAAAGTTCCACAAATTAGTACAGTTGTAAAAACAGATTAATGATTAATGATTACTAGAGTAGACAATTTCATCTCTGCGCTGGCTTTAATTACCAACTATCATCTCTCCCTAAACTACTTCCAACGCCCCTTGTTCCTACTCCTGACACTGCTGTAGAACCTATTCTCTACAACAGCCAGAGTAACCTTTAAAATAATGTAAATTACATCATCTCACATCCCACTGCACTTACATAAACTTTTTAGCCAGGACTATAGTCTTGCATTACCTGATTCCTGCCTATCTCTTTTATCACAACTTGTATCATTCTTACCCTTACCTACTATACTGCAACACTGGCCTTTTTTTTTTTTTCCCCCTTCTAAGCCACCAGCATCTTTCCCATCTTAAGGTCTTTACACTAGAAGGTCCTCCCTTTCATCATTACTTGGTTTGCTCTTCCTCAACATTAATATCTCAGTTTAGTGTTCCTCTTCAGGAAGTCCTTCTCCAATCAGCCTCGAATCATTAGCTATCTAAATGCCCTTTTAGTATTTGCTGTAATGGCACACATCACTATCGGCAACTAACTTACATGCATCCTTACCTTTTTTTAAACAATGTGTATCTCCGTCCCAATACAGTAAAATTTCTATAAGATCACATCTAGTTGTTTAGGACCACATCTCTACAAGCAACTACACAGTAAATGCAGTAAAAAATGACTGCCAAGCCAATGCATTTTGATAATATAAAGAAAAACATTTTAAAAATAATCTTGTCTTAAAATTAGGTGGTGTCCTGACTGGCGTGGCTAAGTGAGTTGGGCATCATCCTGCAAATCACAAGGTTGCAGGCTCAGTCCCTGTCAGGGCACATGCCTGGGTTGTAAGCCAAGTCCCCAGGTGGGGGCGTGCGAGAGGAGACTGGGTGATGTCTCTCACACAGCAATGTTACCTTCCCTCTCTTTCTGCCTCCCTTCTTACCTCCCTAAAAATCAATCAATCAATCAATCTTAAAAAAATACAAAATGAAAATTCAAATGCCTACCTGATTGACATCTTCACTTAGATGTCAAAGGCAACAGCAAATAGTCCCTAATATGATTTATGATCTCCTTACCTCCTAAAAATTGTGGGCTTATCTTTTTGTGCTTCTGATCTAAGTGAAGAGCAACACTCCACCAGTAACATAAATAAGATATTTAGGAGCCATCCTTGATTCTTCCTTCTCCAAGTCCTATCATAAATTTGTCTTTTAAATATACTGAATACATCCAGCCCGTCCCTCTCTCCTACCATCACTACCCCATCTACTGTCTAAATGACCATTTCTCACCTGAATTACACAACTAATCTCTTCATGTCTCTTCTGGCATCCCTACTATTCATTTGCTCCACTGCAGCTATATGATCTATTAAAATATAATCTAATTTATCACTTTCCTATTTAATATTCTTTAAACAGTCTGTTGTAGATCCTCTAGCTTCATTTCTCACCAATATCCCATCCATTCTTCCATTGATTCATTCAACAAATATACATACTGAGTTCCCACTGACAGGCAAATACAAAATGGACAAAGATGCTGATCTCATGAAGCTTATAATCTTATAGAGGAAGTTATTACCAACAAACACTATGTCACTGGCACATAGTAATTAAGTACTAAGATGAAGAATAAAGCAGGGTTAGTTCATAGAACAACTGTCCACCGTTGGGGCACAATGAAAATGTGTGGCCACACTTTGGGGTTGTCCCAATAATGAGAAGATACAATTGGGGGATTTAGTGGGTCCAGGGTTGCTGACTGTCCCGCAAAAACAAGCCAGTCCCACACACAAAGTACTGTTATCCCACGACACTCCCACATGTCCATGTAGGCGACAAACCTGCTTATAATTACCTTTCTCCTAACTCCATTTTACATACAAACATAAAGAAGTTTTATACAATTCTAATACACAGATTTCCCAGGAATGGAACTGCTTTATAAAGTAAAGGAAGGCTGTATACTTTGTTTAGTTTACAACTTTACTAAGAATTGATCACCATTTGGAAAATCAGGTCACCCAGTAATGCAACTTAGCAATGTGAGTCACAAATACAAAATAACTGTGTACATTCCCACTTGTAATTCTTACATTAATGATATTATGGTGTGTAAGCATCTAACCACTTCATTATGTCTTTGCTAATAAGAGTTTTGCCTGCGTATATACATTATTAAATATATATTAATTTGTTATAAATTACTTTCATTTTATGTCTTTCTCATTTACCATTAGGGTATTCATTTAATTATGTATATTGGAAGGTCATAAACAATAATTCATTCATTTGAAAAATATTTACTGAGCACCTATTTATGTTCAAATCATTATTCTAAGCATTTCAGACACATCAGTGAAAAAATATATATAGCTGACTAACAAAATTGAAATGAATAAGTAAAAGTTTTAGTTTATTAGAAGAGAAAGTAGAGCCAGGTAATGTGGGTTGGGAATGCTGAATGGGTTGAGTGTACAGGATGCAAAATTAAATAGGGTGGTCAGAAGGCCTCACCGGGAAGGTGAAAGCTGACAGAGTCATAAGGTGAGTGAGACAGTCAAGTGCAAAAAGGGCTAAAGCTTTAAGCTAGGCACACATACAGCACTTCTGAGGAACAGTAAGGAGACCATTGTGTCCACACTACCTCCTAAATATCTCTTACATCTCTATATTGTAGTAACTTCTTTTTAAATCTATTCAAAGACTAGACTGGAAGTTCCACTAAGTCAGAGACCATGCTTTCTTCTTAATATCATCAATACTGCACAGAGTGACAGATGCACAGTAGACACCCAGTAAGCATTTACTGTATGAAGAAAATAAGTGAGGAATTAACCAGAAAAGTTTTCTGAGGCAACTGATAACCAAACCTCAAAAATATATTAGAACTAGAAGTCGGAAAAGATTTAAGCAACTGAAATGACAACATAATAAAGCCAAAAGAAAAGTCTATAAACTAAAATCTAGACAAAATCCAAAAGCTAAAAATATTAGGCCATAATTGCATTTAAAGTAACAAGATGAATTTAAATATAATAAAATCTCTTAAGGAAATCTGAATTCATTCCATCTGGCTCTTAATAAAATGTACTATGCAATATAATCTATCTGCAGGTTCAGATCCAGATTCTTACTAAATCGTTTTATCTACTTTAGACTAAATATTCTTACACTAAAGCAGTTGCATAAAGCTTTCAACACAGTGGTACAGCTGATTTTAACAAATAACAGACTTAAATGCTGATAGAGTTTAAAGACAATTTAGAGACCATCTACTCCAATTCTCTCATCTTAAAGATTTCAAGTTGAGGACTAGAGATTTCAAAGGATTTGTCAAAAGTCATAGCAAGTTACTGAAATACCTGCTAGGTTTAACATTCTGTTTATGACTGGATACCAAAATAATTTATATGACTTTTTAAATACTGAAGAAGTAGTATCACTACCATACTACTTCAAGGAAAACAACAGAATCAATGTCTACTTTATTCCTAGGCCACATGACAATAAAATCATTCTAAGGTTCTATATTTAAAATAACAAATTGCAATCCCATTTAAGAAAAACCTAATTGGCCAAAAATAGAATTAAATAATAAAATAAACCAAGAATTTGCTCTGGTTTTTTCTGCTTAACAGTGAGAATTGGCATTAGTACCCTGTTGTCCCTAAAAGTAACACACTCCCTCAGACAGTATCTAAAATCCATATCTAATTATTATTAAGTAGTCTCATTAACCAAATAAAATTAAGATGAAGGAAATTTCTACTAATAGAACAGGGATTATTTTTATAATCAATATTCTTATGATTACAAACTATATTTTGCACATTTAAAGATAAAGAATTATTAGTCCATTGTATATTTCACCATATTAAGTTTTGAATCTCTAATCTGAAATTAAAGAAGAAATCTTAGAGCATTAAAACCCCACACCTGAAAGACTTACCATTTTATCTAGATGTTCAATGGATCTATAAATCTCCCCCTGGGATTCATCATAGTAACTGTAACGGAACCTCTGACCTTGAAACAAATATCATGTACAAAATAAAATAGGGAAAAATTAGAAGCTAAAAAGAAAGCAAGCGCTTACCAAATAATTTCAGTTCTCAAGGAAGGCAAAGCACAGCTTAAGCCTCTGAGAGAATCATTCCCAAAAGCCCTTGTACATAAAAATAAAAGGCATATTTGGGAAAGTAATAAAGAAATGATATATCACCAGTGTTTTATGATGTTAAAACTATTTCAAATTATAAAACCTTATAGTCACGAGCAATACAAAAGACTAAAGAAACAAAACAGCTTAAAAGTTAGAAGCATTGTTAAATATATTATATCAGACTATAATGAAGAGTAAACCCAAAGAATACGATGCAAGGAAATTTGGTTTAAGGGAACTGTCTCAATGTAACAAGTCAAGGAAAGCTTAGCTTTTGCTTACAAATGTGAAGATTTGATCTCTATTATAGAAAAAAATGTGTAGATCAGAGATGTATTTGGTTTCTGTGATTTTCATGACTTCAAAAAATTTTAATATCATTTTCACAAAACTTTCTGCTTTGAAAAATATCAATACAAGTACCTTAAAATAGGATTCACAAAAGAATATAATAGGCCTACTCTGACAATAAAATCTCAATAAGGGCACAAGCACAGAACATTCAATGTCTAGCTGTTCTCCAAACAGAGGGTAAAATAGAAGAAGCTCAAAAAGACGACAGAAAACAAAAGACTGAGGAAATAAATTTTTCTTCTTATTGAAGACATAGAAAAACCAAAAGAAACATGTTGTAAACCCACATAACTAATTGTGGATTGTTATTATACTGATTATGTTGCATCTAAACCTTTTTTCCAGCATCACCTTTATTTCCAAGAACTCACTACTTTTACATTTCCTTATTTAAAAGATTCACCAAAATGCATTTCTAAAGGTACTACAGCACACCAACCATGTGTGCACACGGTATGTGTCTTGTGCTTCATTTTTACAGTTCATATATTCAGTCATTACCCTCACACTTTGCTAAAAAATATCATCTTATAAATAATGAGCAGTGCAAAGTTATAGAGCCCTTTTGATATCTTTCTGGAAAAACCAGACATCACAGTTCTTAAAACTTGATTTACTTGTTGATGCTGGTCACTTTTCTACAATACACATATTTCCTTAACTGTCATCTTTTAAATTTTCATATAAATTACTATGTAGCATTACTCAATGTGGCAGTTTTTATTTTCCTCCAAGAGCTATTATTAAATCAATACCGCATCTTACATGATATCCTAGAATCAAGCAATATGTTCTGAGACAATTATCTGCTTTCTGAATACAAAAACCTTTTCAGCAAACACTGAAATCCATTATAGCCTTTGCACTAAAAAAATTATTAAGTAGTGACAGTTCATCACTCAATGTTCTTATGTTAAATTATTCATCAGACATTTCTTTCAAAATTTAGGATTAAATATAGATTTGTTTGTCTTTAAAGGATTTATGTACTTCCTTCTACCTAATAATAAAAAATATATAATTTACCCCATTTTTCCTATTTGCCAGGTGACTGTCAGTAGGCTCAAAGACAAATCTACAGTCTGTCACAATAATTCATTGGTACAAATCATTATTAAATTCTACTTCAATTTCAAGTTCTTTTGATAAAGCTGCCCAAAATCTTTGAAGAAACAATTACATGAATAATCTTAGACAAGGAAATTCTGACTCAATGTCATTGAAGCAAGAGTAATATCCTTGTTATTACTCTTGAAATCAAGATGATTATCCTTTGAACCTGACCTGCTTTCGGTGTATATGAATGTTCTTTCTCTGTTCTTCCTTCTGGAGAGAACTGCTAGTTTTGACTGTCAATAACCCCTGTGATCAGGACATAACTATCTTTCCTGAAGACTACTCTTCGGTGCAGAGAAAAATGCATGTACTTTATGACTGCCATTTTTCTACTCAAAAGTCTGTTTTGCTTATCTCCAAGTTTAGAGCTCCTGTTTCGAATGGCTGAAAGTGGCCACACCTGCCTTAATCCTAAGTAAAAAGGGTAACTATATTTTAAAATGTTGTCTTGTTCATATGGACTACTTTAAAGATAAGCTGCACTTAAAAACTACTTCTCCAGTAAAAGTACATAGAATGTTTGAAACTTTAAAATGCTAAATCAACATGTAACTTAGTAAGACAAAATACACAGCAAATCAATGAGCCAATAGTTGAAGAACTGAGTAGAAATACTTGATGAGCTCTAAAGAATCTATCTGTTAAGAAGCTAAATCCACACTACATATAGTTACTACACTGAAAAATCTAACTTATAGCAGCTCAAACTGTCTCACGATTTTTTAAAATTGTACAAATATTTTAAAGTTATTTCAGTAATTTATTCTGGTCAATATATACACAGAAAGCATGGAATTTAAAGTAAATAACTGCCATCATCCCAGCCTATATGAACTTGTGTGCGCACATATGCACATGTGTACGTGCATGCACTAATTAATATACACTCAATTTTAGTTAAATTTGAAATTGAGTTCAAAAGATCTTTTTTGTTTCTAATTACTAAAAATACTAATTTATCAAGAATTTACTTAATAAGTAAATGACAATATCACAATACCCTAGTCATAAATGTACCTTTAAATATTTACTGTTGGTTTATAACATATTATCATTTCATGTACCTCATGTGCAGACATAGTTTGTTTTACAATATTTCTAACATTCACTAAAGCTTATCCGCCTACACTGAACAAATACAGTTGCCTATGCACCTGGAGAACTGGACTTGTATACTTTTAGAAGTATGAGTAAAGCATATCACATAGTAAGAGAAAATTACTTACCTGAAACTTATCCTTTCAGAAGGTACACTGGGAAAATGGATTCTTTGAGCCCCTGTTTCAACTCCAAGTATGAGCTTTCTAGCTTTAAGAGCCATTGACACTGCCCCTAGGGGCAGCCCCAGCTTTGGAACTCCCCTAGTGAGTATGTCAGTAGTTTCTTCAGGTGCCTTCCCTCAGTTCTTTTCAAATTCAAAAGATGAGAGAAAAAATAACCCAAGAAAAAAAAATCCTGTAAAGCAGAAACCTTACTCTTTGAGGGAAGGAGGGTAGCTCATTTGTGAATCCATTCCAGAGCACGCTTTCTGAGAAAAAGAAATACAGGTAAGTAATTTTCCCATCTCCAAAGGTGACTGGTGATTAATGAGTGGATTCACAGAGTGTGGAGAATAAGCTCCAGGGATGTCTGTTTCACACACAACTAATGAGGACAAACATAACAATGAATGGTACAAGAACCAACACTACTTTTGAAGTTCCTCAAACAAAAAGTAAAAAATATATATATACTAAATACCTCAACATTAAGCTATACACTGGATTGTGAAATTAAATAGGGAGCTTGGAAAACTGATCTATAAAGGCCTCAAAAGATCAGTCAATAAGACAGACTTTCAGACATTTGTCCAGTAAAAACTGTACTGTTATACATTCATTTAATCACTTTATGTTTATACATTAAGGCATTTTAAAGTATTTTAGTAAAACTTAGAACCTGGGAGGTAGATTGCTAAAATACTGAAACTGGGGACATTCATAACTGAAATCACTATCAAAGGGAAAAAATATATTTCACAAAGGAAATATATTCGGAGTAGCATCAAATAAGGTAATCATTTTTACAAGCAAAACACTATAGTCTTCATTCTGAAATCTTAGTTATACTGTAAAAGTATTAGCCTTCTCTCAAATGTGCAAAAGATCAAAAAACCTAAATATGTGAAATCATTATGTATAAAGAGCAAAGCTAGGATAAGATACAGTTCAGGAATTAGCTAACTTATACTTTGACCAAATTAAATAGTTATAAAATAGTAATACTCTCATATCCCAAGAGCCTAACAACAGAAAGGAAAAAGAGTATACATGAATAATCACTTTTTAATACATATTAAAGTAGAAATCTGGATAAAGATATAAATATTTAGGAGGATAATTTTTAATAGGTGCCACATATTTATGAAAAAGAAGTTATGTAAACCTAGACAAATGTAAGTTTATAGGTAAAAATCCAAAATTGCTGAACAGAAGTAAATTTTATTCATATTTTAATAAAATATAATTTATCATTGATATTTACCAAGTAAATTTATTGAAACTGATTTGTACTTAAAATCACCATAAAAGGAAAATTAAATAAAAGCATTTTAAATAATCAATTTCTGTTAGATCTAGTTTCACTTAATAACTTCTTTAAAGTTAACTGAAAATTTTGTTAATGAAAGCTGTTAATAGTCTAAATTGGGAAATGTAAATTTCAGGGAGATCAGGAAAACACAAATACTAACAGTGTATATGAAAAAGAATAAAAGTGAAACTTAGGAAAATAAAATAAATAGTCTACTAATTACAAAAACTAAAATAGGTCCAGACAAAACTCTCTTATTATGGAGCCATCCTATAGGATGTGGAACTTGATAAGTATACAAGATTATTTAACCAGGATAAAAATCAAGTATTAGCAGCAGATGTCCTTTCACTTATGTCACTCTTCCTGATAGTAACAGGAAAGATGAAAAGAGGTGGGATCATAATAAGTGTTAGCAGGGAAACATCATCCTATTGAGCTAATAAGATAAAAGGCAAGAATTGAAATGCAGGGATTGTGCAAGTGAATTCAAATAAGGAGATAGTAAGAAGAGGAATACAGAATCTAAGTTCCCAGCTTGTCTCAGCCAAGAAGAAAATGAGAGTACTTTAGTCTTTCTGCTTTGTACCTCTCTAATATCTCTTTCAAGTCTGAATAAAGCTAAATGGGATCTGAAAGATGAACATCTTTAAAGCAAAATACACTTTTAAAAAGGAAGTCATTCATGTAAATGGACATTGGCTAGCAAACCAAGTCAAAAAGGCAAAATTCTTCCAACTACATATAGGTCTCCCAACTGTCTCCATCACCAAGTTTCTCACTTTGTTTCTCACAGAAGCTGGACAATATATAAAAGGAAACAATGGCTGAAAGTGAAATATATCACTGCCAGTACTCTAATATATTATTCAACATAAATAAAAAAATTCCACTGTATATATCTGAGTAATTTATCAACTGTACCAAAATTAAGTAAGTTATTTTTCTTCAAAAAACCAACTATTTAGAAATGTGTAATGTGTTAAGCATCTAACAAGAAAAATTTTCAAGTCTCTTAAGTACTTGAGAAGCAGAATCTTTCTGGTGGAATGACTTAGAATTCAGTGTTATCATTACTTCAGCATGGTAAAATCAAACTGTATAGCACCTTTGAAAAAAGAACAAGAAATGGAAATCACTGAGTATTATCTTCACGAGAAAAGCAGTTATCTGAGATGGGGATACAGCACTCATTAATTTAGAAGAGATGACTAATGCCACTAAAGCACGAATCTGAGAAATATGAAACAATTTCTAAGGCAGTTTAACTCGTAACTGGCCAGTAATTTGTATTACTTCAATAGGCATGTTAAATAGAAAATAAATCTTACTTTACAAGAATAACTCTTATTATTACTACTGTAGAAAAGAGACCACCAATTTTGGAATAGCATCCATGCAGCACCTTCAACTTACCCCCAAAATCTCAATCAAATTTCCTAATAAGAATTAGTACAATGCTTTCCATATGTACAAAGTAAACACTTAATGAATATTGTTAGTGATAGCAATAGTGAAAAACAAACAGTTGGAAAAGCTCTATTACTTAACCACCAAATGTAAATATAAATGTTTAGTCTATGTTTAGCATCCCATGATCACCAGAAAATTATGTTTCACCATTTAAATACCAAATTTTCAAGAAATTAGATCAAATGACAAATAATTTTCTGAGAATCTAGGTAGAATGTAAAACAAAATTCATTTTTCTCTCAACATTGTACTTAAATATAGTAGTGCAGTAGGGTTTGTTTACTTTCAAATTCAGTAGTGAGGTAAAAAGGATAATACCACAGAAAAGAGCAATATGAAGGCGTCCACTGCTGTTTTCCATGGATTTATGCTGTGGCTGCACATGGTGCCAACCCAGAAGAAGGGCTTAGACATTGAAAAATTATATCACGAGAACCAATTATTTAAATCATAGAGTGATTTAAACTGATTCCTAAGGGCCTAAAAAGTGAAGAGGAAAGGGGCAAATGCTTCATGAATTTTTAATTTCTAAAACATTAGTACCAATGCAAATTTACAATACTAAAGAAAAAGGGCCCTTTTTTCAATATGACACACCTTAATTTTTAATATCAACTATTACTAAACTTCAAAATTCCCAAGGAACTCTTTCTGAGCATCTACCTAGCCCTCAGATATAAGTCTAGCCATACTCCAGCACTACTCGGCTTCAGAGCTCGTCAAACCCTGGGCTCTACGCATTTTGACAAGAAAAAAAAAATGTTTCAGCACTCAGCGCTTGCTCGGGACTCATCTCACTTGCTGTAACTTGTATGAATCAAGACGCAGACCCATAAGAGGAAGTGTTTCATTGTTTAGTATTTGGTACTCATGGGTTTTGGCACTCATTATGAGTTTTGGAATGAATTAACAATGAGTACTGAGGTACCACTGTAATATACTTATAACCATAAAAAGTAACATCTCCCAAAGGTAGCCAATTGAACTTGTCATTAATGGACCCTGAGAGCCTCTGAGGAACTTTGGAAAAGTAGCACAGCTACCTGAACACCCTAAACAAGGTCTATCAACCTCAGCACTACTGGTATGTTGGGCAGAATAATTCTTTAAGTAGGGGCATTCCTGTGCATTATTATAGGATGTTTACTTAGCAGCTTCCCTGGAATGTATTCACTAGATGCCAATAGCATCTCCACCTCCCACCCCAGCCAAGCTGTGATGATCAAACATGTCTCTAGGCATTTCCAAATGCTGCCTGGAGAACAATCCACCCCAACTGAGAAATTAGTGCCTTAAATAAAAATACCATTAGGGAAGACGGTTCTCTTGAATTGAAATCTCAAGGACATTTTTAGCACAACATAAGAGAAGAAAATACCAGCCTAAATAGGTCAAATAAAAGTTGAATCAATTGGCAAAAAAGGGTAAGATGTAAAAAACCTCGAGCTCCCTATAGCTCATTGAGGATGTTTTTCAGGCCATTTTAGCACTCCACCTGAAAATTTATGGTCTTGTGCCATATTCTTTCTTCATAATCAAAGAAACAACTGAAGGATGAACAGATAGTGGCACCCTTAAACCAATGAACACACAAGTCAAAGATATGCCCTACAAGGAATAGAATTCAGAAATACTCTGAAACAGTAAATGAGCAGATTTTGTCCAAAGAATTCAAAAATCTAAATTTACTAAAAGAGACACCCACAAATGTCTCATTTTCTTTATGATCTATTCACTGTGAAGCTTCCTTATTCTTTTAACTCACAATAATAATAAAAATCACTTAGGAGTCCTTGCCCTTATGAACCATTCCCAATGAAGACCACGCTGCTAACAGCCAACATGTAACAATCTTTGGAGGGTAGCTCTAAACTGATGGCAATCATGGGCAAAAATTAAGCATCAAAGAATAAAAGAAAGAAAAAAGTCTAATTACAGAACATAAAAATGTGGGAAAAGGTTGCCATCACACAGAGTGTTCTTCCATGTTCTAGAGAAGAAAATTTGTTTTATCCACCAAAAAACCAACTTTGGGCATCTACCACACAACTCTACCTGGAAATGGGGTTAAAAGATCTTAACTCCCACTAATGTAAGTGCCTAAGCAAGGATGCCCTCACGGTGTGAATCCAATTATACCAGTCGCCTTTGGAAATGTATCCATAATCCACTATTATAATCTAATCCTTTTTAAATGACCAAAAGACTTTTTATTCACTTTTAAACAGTGCTACTAAAAGTAAAACTTTCCAAGGAAAGTGAGAACTGAAAAACAGAGCTTAGAATGAAAAGATACCTTTAACCACAATATAATAGCTACCATGATATGTTAAAATCTAGAACTTACCCCAATGGCAGAAATCAGAAGAAACCACAAAGAGATTACTAGGATCCGCTAGATATTTACTGAAGAGTTTTCCGAATTCCTGTTCTTTTGACTCACTCAGAGCTCCAACCAGTACAGGAATAATGGTAAACTCATCCTTATGGCTTAAAGAAAACAGAAAAAAAAGTCACTTAAGAAGTATAAGAATAAAAATAGTTTCTAACTTGTTTGCACTAAAAAGTGGAACATTTATTAATAGTGGTAAAGATAACACATATAATATTGTTGAATTCTTAAAATATATACATTAAATGTTTAAAGAAGACCATTTAAAATATGAGAGGCACAAAAGGTACAGAATACTCAAAATAACCACTTAAATTACAGAAATGTGCAATACTTCTTTAGATAAAGATATTTTTGTTTATTATTCTATCAGATAGAATAATATCCTCAAAAACAAAAATAAGCCCATCAGACCATCACCAAGTCAAGTTTTCTCAACTACCCATCAAAGCTATAATCATCTGCCCAACTCTTCTGCAATTTTAAAAGAACATTAAAGTCTTCCTCACCTATTTTAACCCTATCCAATTATTAATACCACCACTTCTGGCACTTGTTCTATAAATCTGACAAGTGAGACCTACAACAGTTAATACTGGATCCCATAAGATTCGCCAACTACACTTACACCTATACTAATAAACAGATACAGGATAGTCTGAAAATACAACTCAAATTTTACTGGCATCTAGTGTGAACATACAATTCAAGGAAGTAAGTATTATTTTCTAGCAGCAAGCAAAAGACACCATGGCCACCCACAATGTTTATGGTATATCCACAAGTCCCTTTTTCACTCTACAGATTGACAGATTTATGGAAAAGGAACAGAGCAGATTAATAAAGAAGAACTATGATGGGCTATAGAAACAGATGTTTATCCAAAACCTTTTAAAATTTTCATTGTAGTGAAATTTTACTTACATTATAAATTCAATATTATTTATATTCTAAATGATCCCAGATTTGGAATTTTAGAAGCATGAAATCATGTTTGTCTGACTTGTTCTGAACAGGACTTAGGGAGGGAAAAAAATCACCATTATAATAAATTCTTTTTAATACGATAATCGGACACTGATGTAGGACAAACAGAATTCATAAAAAAGTTCTTTAAAATACTAAGTTTAAGTAGTCCCAAAATAAATATTAGCCCAGCTTCATAAAACTAAATTAGGGGCACCCAAGCGCCTCCCCCATAAAAGCCCCCTTACCCTTGTGAATTGCGAAATAAACAGATCATACAGATCTCCAGTCCCTCTGCAATGCAGGGGCTTCTTGGGCAGAATCTGCATCTATGGAGTAAGAAAAAAAGAGGAAGCTGGCAGAGGAAGCTGCCTCGGGATAGTTCTTTCTCTGACTCTTACCAATTTGCTTAACTGCATGAGTGAATAGGGGCTCTTCAATAAATTAAGAATGATTATCATTTCAAAAAAGTGAATTAGTAAAAATTCAAGAAGATTGTTATGACCTGTTCTAACTTCAAGTACCACCTACATAAATACACTAAGATCATCAAAGAGTTTGCAAGTAATTATGATATGGTAGGAAAGCAGTATACAGAGTATAAAAAACAAGAAGTCAGAAGAAATGGGTTCAAGGGCTATCTCTTATCACATACAAATGTTGAGAGCATGGCTAACTCACTAATCTAAAAATTTCCTTATCTGGAAAAATGATCATAATTACAATATCTATTTCATAAAACTGTTACATTACAAAGTGAGGAATACTATAGAAGTACTTCGTCAATAATAGTTGGCTCTCTGAAGAAATACATGTCTCCCCTCCACAAGAGCCACCAAACTGTTTAATTAACCTGTTTGAGTTTGCAAATTGATTTATAGAGATAAAAGTCTCACACTAAGAAATCTAAGCTTCGATTCAAGATTCATCCATACACTTCTCTTTGTCAGTTTCCTTGTTAAACAATTACTGTTCTCTATCCCCACAAAGCATGAAGTACAGAAAAGAGCATTTGGCATTGATACGTAATATTCCTAAGTTTTAGAATCAATTTGTGAAGTTGGTCTTCCCTAGTGAAGGAATATAAAAAACTGACTAAATTATAACTTATAAATTTATAAAACTGACTAAACTGTCAAAGACAACCATTTTGTGCTCTAGAAATCAACTAACGGCAGGAAAAAAACCCAACAAGATCACAGTTTATTTGTGAAAAATGACAGAATTGCTTGGAAAGAAGAGTGGAAGTCTGGAACCTTAGGAGGAGCTGTCTCCATCCCCCTACTCTGCTCCACCAACACAGTAGTTCCAACAAGGTGAGGCTGGCTGTGAAAACTGGTACTGCATTGCTGCAGGGGGCTGACTTTGATTTAAAGCAGAGAGCAGAAAACTCACACCCAGCAGGAAGCAGAAAGGCATGCAACTCTTGCAGCCTAAGGTTACTGTAGCAGTTGAGGCAAGCCACAAATCTAAGGACTACCTAGAAATTTAACAGGGAGATCGTAGAAAGGAGAGAGTCACAGAGGAACTTGATAAAGTCACATATTCTGAGAGGATGATTGATGCCCTCCACACAACCCTGGCTAGGAGACACTCCCAAGCTCCCCAAGAATGCCAGTTAATCGGGAGGGTGGGAGCAGGCCCAAGGAAAAGTAGAGACCTGAGAGACTACGCTCTCACACATCCCTGGCTGACTTGAAATCTGCATGCATGGACATGACAAGCAAATAAGACCCAACAGAAAGTAAAGGAGACAAACTTGAAAAGAGCCTGAACTTTGAGTTCGTGATCCAAAACCTACACAATCCAGCAGCAGATGGTTAGAGTTAGGGCTTACTGGCCCCAGGCATTCAAGCACAACCACCAAGGAATCCTTAGCTAAGCACTAAGAAAATCAGACACAGGGACACACTCTTACCTTCCTTGCACTGGAACCCTGGGCTGGGTGGTCTGGTGTTGGGCTAGGACCCCTCAATCCCGAGATATCCCTCCTGATTTTTACCCACCGCAGTGGGTGTGGGACCACAGATCCCACATCTCCTTTTCTCCTCTCCATCTGGATGAATGTGCTTTCTTTATCTTTAATTCCTTAGTTGTCCAGCTTCCGTACAGCTTGGTTTCTCTGACAATAGCTGTTCGGTTGTTTAGCTGTAATTCTGATGTGGTTGTGCAAGGAGGTGAGCTGTGTTTACCTACACTGCCATCTTGACTGGAAGTTTAAAAAGCCTAGTTTCAAGAAAAATTATGAGCCAAGGAAGGAAATGGGAAAATGTGACCTATTATTTTTTAAAAAGTGGCCAGCAGAAGCTGTATCCAACAGAGGGAAGAGATATTGGATTTAGCCAAGACTTCAAAGTTATTACAAATATGTTCAAAAACATAAAGGAAACAATATTTAAAGAAGTTTTATCATAGATATCATCATATATATATGATGACAATGACTAAACTAGTAGTAAATAGCAACACAGGAACACAAACTATTAAAAAAGAACCAAATGGAAATTTTAGAATAAGGGTATAATAACTGAAATGAAAGAGTCACTAGATGGCCTTAAGAGCATACTCAATGTTACATAAAGAATCAGAGATAATAAAGATAAAATAAATTATGTAATCTGAAGAAGAGGAAAAAAGACCGAAGAAAATTAACAGAGCACTGGGGACTTGTAAATAAAATGAGACATACCAGGGTGCATACAATGAAGAGTCCCAGGAAAGGTACAATATAATTAGTAGAAGAAATGATGGCTGAAAACTTTCCAAATTTATTTTAAAACATTAATCTACAGATCCAAAAAACCTTTACAACCCAAATGAGGGTAAGTACAAAGAGATTCTCACCTAAATATACCATAATGAAATTCATGAACACCAAAGACAAGGAGAAAATCTTGAATGCAGCAGCTAAAGGAAAATGATTCATTATTTACAGGATAGCCTTTCAACAAATAGTACTTGGATAACTGCACATCTATATGAAAAAAGGTGAACTTAGAACTTTATCTCATACCATAAACACATACAAAAACAACAAGCTGGATCACAGACATAACTTTAAGAGCTAAAATTATAACCCTTCTAGAACAGAGGTTAGCAAACATCTTTTGAAAGGGGCCATAAGGTATGTATTTTAGGTTTCTGGAGCCATGCAATCTCCGTAGCCAACTACTCAACTGTCACTGTAAAGAGGAAACAGACCTAGACAATACAGTGGGGGGGAAAAGTAGGTTTACAGTTGTGACTATGCAAAACACGGTTTATTCTTGTATTACTATTTATTATTATGTTATTTCCCATATTAACAACTGTAAGTCTACTTTTTCCCCACCCTATATGTGAATGAGCAGGTGCAGCTATGTTCCAATGAAACACTTACAATAACTAGCTGTGGGCCTGATGTGGTCTGCATGCTGTAGGTTGCTGATTCCTGTTCAAGAAGGTAAAATCTTTATGACCCTGTAGGCAAATATTTCTTAAATATGAAACAAAAAGAATCCATACAAGAAAAATGAGGGAACAAATTCAAGAAACAAATTCATCAAAAACTTTTGCTCTTCAACAGACACCACTAAGAAAATGATAAGTTGTACAATGGGAAAAACTCTTTGCAAATCATATATCTGAATAAATAACTTGTAGCCAGAATACACAGAATCTCTTGCAACTCAGTAAAAAGCCAAATTATCAAATTAAAAACTAGAGCAAAATATATGAATAGGCTTTTCACAAAAGAAGATACACAAATGATTAATAATCACCTGAAAAGTTGCTCAACTTTTCAGTCGTAGGCGTCATTAGAGAGATACAAATTAATACCAGAATGAGGTGACAGTACATATCTATCAAAATGGTTATAATGGAAGATTGATAACAGGTATTGGCCAGAATGTGGAGAAGCTGAAACCCTCATGTATTCCTCCTGGAATATAAAATGGTACTGTGCCTTCACAAACCGTTTGGCAGTTTCTGAAAGAGTTACAACATAGACTTATCATGACCCAGCAATTTTATTCCTAACTACTTATTCAAAAGAAATGAAAACATATGTTCAGATTGACTTTGTACAAGAATATTTATAACAGTACTCCTAAGAGCCAAAAAGGGAAATGGTCCAAACATCCATCAACTTGGTGAATGGATAAACAAAATGTGGTATATTCATATAATTGAATAACAATTTGGCAGTAAGAAGGAATGTACTGACACAAGCTACAACATGAATAAACCTCAAAAACAATATGCTAAGTAAAAAAGGACAGATACAAATGACTGCATCATGTATGATCCCATTTATATGACATTTCCAGAAAATGCAAATCTATAGAGACAGACAGCAGATAAAATCGTTGTCTGAGGTTGAGAGTGGAAGCAAGAATTTGCCCTCAAATGGATATGTTATCTTTTTTGGGTGATGAAAATGTTCTAAAATTAGATTGTAAGAGGGGTTACAGAGTTTTATAAATTTACTAAAAATCATTATTTTACTCTTATGTGGGTGAATGTTACAGGATATAAATCATACTTCAATAAAGCTATTTTTTTTAAAAAAAGAAGAAAATCTATCTTGGCCACTTGCAAGCTATGCTACCTGGAACAGGTTACTTAAAATGATCCTAAGTCTCAAATTTGTCTCTAGTAAAAATAGTTAGTAATGTTCATAACAATGCTCTTGTGAGCACTTTAAGAATATAGAGGAAAGTTTTATCCCTTCTTTTTCTGTGCTATACCTTACACCATGCAACAGAAAATTAATACATTTAAGATATGTAACTAAAAAGAACTGATATCTCAGAACCAAAAATGGAGCACTCTCTTTAAAAACCAACAATATCACTCTATCACCAATGCTCCTAATGGTACAGAGCATTAAGTCTAATTTCTAATGCAAAAATTCTAATATAAAAATATGAATTCTACAGTTAATATAGTTAATAACACTGTATTGCATATTTGAAAGTTGTTAACAGTAGACCTGAAAAGTCCTCATGACAAAAAGTATGACTTCTAATTTATTCTAAGTGATAGGAGAATAATTTAATTGCCAGTGTTTTTACCTAATTAGCAGTACATGATTTAAATTTCAAAATTAATGACATTTTAAAGTAGATGAAGTACTGTATACAAATAGTTATTTGCTTAATGAACATGAGAATGTTTTTCTCTATACAAATTTTTCCAATTTCCTAAAGATTTTAGGAGTCCAGAGCTTCTGAAGGTGAGAATTAAACAAGTCATAACCAAGCCAGTAAGAAGGAAAATTATCCTTATCCTTGAAGGTGCTAAAGTTTTACCACAGTAATACCATTATAAGATTTGTTCCCTTTTC